TTACTTTCTCATTTTAATCGAAATTCCGGCTAAACGTGTTATCGTACACTGACAAAAGAAGTGGAACAGTGAGTGAGTGAGTAAGTGAACGTATTGACACGTAACAAACCCAAATCTAATTGGGTTCAAACGGGCGATTTGAGATTGCAAGTCTTCCTATCCTCACAGCCACAACCGACTCTGACATTGATAAAGATGTCGCGTATACAAGATACAACCGAAAACTTCTGCGCCTAATGCAATTTCCCGAAGGCCGGCGTCGTCGCAGGCACGGATGCTGCAGCGGTGGGTGTTGTAATGCGACAACGACGCGCCATCGCAAACAGGATTAGCTAGATCACGGCCCCACGCGCGCAGACAGGAAGCGCCAATACAAATCGCCGCACAACGCGCGACACCGGTGGAAAAATAACGCGTCGCTCCAATGTACAGTCTGTTAGCGATTGACTTGATATTACTGAAACTTTTTTCCCGGAAAAAAATATATTTATAAAAAAATTACTAATATATAATTGACGTACGAGTGACATTTCCAATCAGTGTTATAAATACATACTATACCGTACTTATATACTATACGTAACTTTCTAAAACGACGTGTTCGATCTTTGTCGTAGACCAGTTAGCAAAGATATTACATTTTAAAGAATAACTTTTTTATTTACGCAAAGAATACACATTTTAAACAAATTAATTTATATAATTTATCGCAGTTTACTTTGGTTTTAAAACAGCCACTACACTGACCAACCCGTGACCACGAATGCTATAAAGCATTCGAAACGTCGGATGTTTTTAATGTAATGTAATTAACCGCAATACAATCCGTAAATTAGGTTTATGAAAATAAATTTATGTGTTTAAAATTTCAGCTAAATTTTGCTAAAGGATGATAGTGTTGGATCGGCGTATATAAGTCAAAATAAAACAGTTGCGAGTAATTCGCCAATTCACAGAGGGGTCGTAGCAACTATGGTGCTGTATGAGAAAAGTATGCACTTACTTATATACTTTACTTTTCTTGTATTGTATTTTTGTGTGGAAGGATAGTGTATTAAGTCTCAACGACCGTTGCGACCTAGAAGATCTATTTTAGTCTTACCTTCGAAAGCATTGCTCTTCTGTACATTATCCGGTGTTGTAAATTTCACGTGGGCGATCATCAGTGGGTCACACAAAGAGTTGTCTAGTTGGAATCGAAGCCATCAACTCAGCGAATGCACCACGTACCTTTCTTGCGTTCCGTTCCGATCCGAGCGTCGAGTGACGTCACTCGCAGTGGCGGCTGCGCCCGCGCATCGTTTAGCCGATTCACGGCCCCATTAGTGTCACTTACGCCGGCGGCTCGGCTGCAGCCCGCACGTGGGTCACAGCGGCCCGAGGCGCGCAATTGAATTTCATTGCCATTTTCCTCCCGCAAACAAAGTTATGTCACTGCGAATAATAAAACCAACCCGGCTCGGGTAACGGCACCGAGCCGAACGGTACGCGATTTTGTCCCCTTGGATTCGCGAATTCAAAGTATAAATAAATAAATATTATCGGATACATTTTTATATACAACGTTCTCTAGTCCCAAACTGAGCAACGCTTGTACTGTGGCTACTAGAAAACTGATAATCATACTTTTCTTTTGTAAATAAATACATATTATACAGACATAAACATACACTGGAAAAACGCGATGTTCATCACACAATATTTTTCCGGTAGTGGGGATCGAACCCACACCGTCTGGCGCAGGAGGCAGGGTCACTACCCCCGCGCCAATCGGGTCGGATGTTGAACAATGTTATAAAACTGTCGGCTGACTACACACATTTGCGTTGTCGAAATATCAAAAAACGGAATATACGATAAAACCAGTAATAAAGTCGTTGAAGAAAGACACAATGTGTAATAAATTATTTTGTATAAATATACAACATTTGTTTTAATAGTTTTCTACCGGAGAATGAAAGGTACTGCCTATCACTAGTGATGATCTCAAAATTTGGGACATGAGATTGTAATTTTTTGACTTCGGCAACCAATAATGATATTACTGTGAATAACAACATTCATCACCACTTTTTTTTAATATGTTGCTAAACTAAGGACCAAAACTCAAAAACGATGAATTGAATGTCAAAATGTCATATTCACTAACAAAATACTAAATATATGATAGCAAAAACAATCATTTAATCATTCAATTAATTTTCTTTGACTCTATGATAAGATGAGAAAGTTGTAATGGATAGCGTTATTTAAAACATCGTTAAATCTCGAAATGTCATTTTTATGTCTTCTCAAGTCGTTAAAATTAATCAGATCGATATATAATAGCGTAGAATACAATTTTTAATATACTGAAAGAAATATACATATGAATACCTTAGAACGTTTTCCAAAGCCTCTTAATGTATTTTTTTATTTTTTTACCAAGAAACTTAATTTCAGGCACTTGCAAACTTAATTATGAATTTTGTCACGAAAAACGTAAACTTCCATCCCCTACTATACGTAAAGAGGAAAAAAATCACGAAAGTTTCGGATGTGCATCGAGAGATCAGTATGTCAGTTTGTTGTCATACATACAAATGAATATACGGACGCTCTTCTATGTATACGTAGCAAAGGACGCGTATCGCATAAATCAATTATTTTCGATGAGCAAATTGCTGTTGCATCGCGGCAAGCGGGAAGAGCTGCGCATGATACACACGGACGCGCCGTTCTCTAGCTGTGCCGATGTGACGTAGCTGCATTTGTGTTTCATTCTATTGCATTCATTTGCACCTCCTATCATCGTGCGCAAAACATCTCGAAGCATCTTCTTCCATTCAATCTGTTCGATGCAATCATTCATTAAAGTGTAGCGTTCAGTTTACTGATCAACGTCTAGTTTATCACGAACCGAATGGAAATGATCAAAATATTGATGCAAACGATCACTCGTTCAGTGAACAGTTTGCGTTTTCTTGCCTTGAAGTGCCAACAAACAAACACTATTTGTTTACTACCGTAGAGCAGCAACTTGTGTTAGCTATTCCGAGGAAATACCACGGCCAGGACATCAGCGTAAAGTTGGAATGTATGTTGTATGAACTGAAGTATACCAATTAAAGGTTTGCAAACAACTGCAGGTTTAGTGTAGTAAATACATTAATTTCCCTAATCAATTTACATCACATACTTTAAACCCTATGGATTGACAACATTTAGCTATAAGCAAGACCGAGTAAGCTATAGGTACCACTCACCATATAACGACAGTGCGACGGTAACTTTTTACCCACGAAATTCTAAAAACTGAAAACGCTGTGTTAACCTTTATAAAACCGGTACTAGGACATAATCCTGTTTAGTTAAAGTACATATTAATGAATGGCTTACCAAGATTCGAAAAAACTATTGTACAAACGTGATTAATTTACCGCTGGTTCTTTGGTGCTATTTATTACGTTTCATTTTTTCCGCTATCAGCTGAAATAAGTAAAAGTAATGTTTTATGTGATCCTTGTTTAAAGGAAAGTTAAAAATCTGGTGATACTTAATATTTAAAGCATTTGCGAAACCGTCAACGGAAAATCGAAGCGATGATTGATTAGAACCAAAAATTGTGATATTTTTTTTATCTATACGGAATTTGATCCGTGCTTTTAATTACAGTTTGACGGCTTAACAACGGCAACAGTTAGGACGTATAAACAAAGACCGTTCATGCAAAAACATAGCACGTTATGGTATTCGTTATAGCGCGATAATAATAACAGATCTAGACGCTATGCTATCAACGATTCCTCATAGCGCCCTGTTATTAGCGGCGCCGTTTCTATGCTAATGCTCTGAATTAGATCGCTTTTTGTGATCGTTCGTGATGGTTATTTATTAAATGCTATGCGATTGTGTCATGGATTGTAGTCTATCATGTAACGGCATGCATTGAATTACAAATAACGGTTTTGTCTTGTTTGTTTCAGAATACGCTATAACCTTTTATTAATACAAAAAAATGTAGACATAACTCAGAATAATCAATCATGATTGTCATTTATTCTTAAGTCGTCCAAATGATATTATTTACAGGAGAATTCATTTCTAATGTCATCTTTGTCGTTAATTTAAATTTTCAACTGATCCAGATTATAAGATCGAGATCACAATGTAAATACAAGTCGGGGAAAAAAACAAACTTACGAGACATTACACTGGCTTGAGTTAGTACATTAATCACAAAGCTCGTCTATGATTTTTGATTTTATGACATAATAACGTGTATCTGGCTTTTGATTTTATTACATATGTGGTAGTCTAGTATTGAGGCGTTGCGTTCAGACCACGGTGTCAGCACCAATGAAATTGTAAATAAAAATTTTGTATTCACAACGTGCTCCGCGGTGAAGAAAACTATCGTGGGCAAGGCTAAGTATTTTCGAAATAATGAAAAGAAAAAAAATATTTCGAAAATATTAGTATGTTGTAAATTCGCACTGAGACCGAGCCACATATAGCATGTCTTATACACAGTTTTCACGTAAGTAGGGCCACGCAGCAACCTCGGCTGTTACACGAATGGGCAGGGCCGTCGGTAAGTACCACGACCTCACAGAAGACCAGCGTAAAGTGGAAGTATGACAAATACTTTCGCGTTTCGTCTGGTGAGTGAGGTAGCCGCAGCCCAATTTTCAAAAGGTTGTCTACGCATCTGTAACCCTCGGGTGTAACAGAAGTCCATGGGCGGCGGTATTCACTTATCATCAGGTGAACCGTCTGCTCCTTTGGCAACTTTTCACGTAAAAAAAAACAGTTACAGCTACGAGTAACCACAAGAACGCATCACTTGGACGGTTTTAAACGAGAAATTTTTATAAAGATGTTTACGTACTTGTTTGCTTTGCTACAGTCGTTAATTACATTGTTAACTCAATGATACCAGTAGCCCGCGTTGGTTAATTTTAGACGGAATGCTACCGATCACATCACTAACCTCATGGTAAAGAGGTTCTAGTTCTCCGATGGAGCCACCATTTCCTGCAGCATCAAAAGCGTGTTCCGCCACAGTCAGTAATCTTATCCACTTCCAGCTGGCGAACGGCAGCGGCGGCGGCCGTGGCCTGTTCTGCTATCACTGTCCGCCGAGCCTGCCGCCGCACCAGCACCGATTGCCAACCCTGGAGTACCCTTTCACCGCTTCTCATCCCTGTAAGTGTGAACTGTATTCATCTATAAGTCTCTGACTGAAGTTTTTATCTGTGGTATGGCCACGCAACAGCCTACGCTGTTGCACGAATGGGCAGGATCAGGTTAGTACCACGAGCTCACAGCAGACCGGCGTGAAGTGAGTCACACTTCTGCGTTTCGTCTGGTGAGTGAGGTAGTCGGGGCGCACTTTGATAGATGGTGCCAACGCATCTGCAGACACACGGGTGTTAAAATGTCCATGGACGGCGATTATTACTTAACACCAGGTGGACCGCCAGCTCGCTTGCCACCATTTCACACAAAATAAAGACCTGTGTGTAATTTTTTTTTCCGAACGTGGGTTAAACGTTTACGGTTTTTATTTAATTTAACAATTCATAAAGTTTTATCTTGTCCTTTTGGTAGTTTGTTTCAGTTATTAAGCACTAAAATAAAGGAATAACATCGCTACGGATGTTTCTTTTAAGTATAACTAGTAGAAATACATATTTAAGAATAAAGTTATCGACTTTATTTGAAATATTACGTTACTTAATGTTTACTTATTTTCATTCATAATATTTCGTCCTTTCTGATGTTATTTAGTCATTTCATTAGAAAAACCTTCTTAGTAAGCTATGGTAAATACATACTTCCATGAGAAAATGTGATTCTGAAACTTAAAAATGGCACGAGAAAATAAAGTGTTTGTATTTTCTTGTATGTATTTTCATATGATGAACTCTTAAAATTTTAATATCATGTAAATCATTTAATTTCAAGGAATAAACAATAAAGTGTACAAGTTGTAACTGAAATTTTATAGCGACCGTTTATTGGTGACCGTTAAAGTTTATAACGAAAATAAAAACTATTCTGCAGTTTCCACAGCCGTGCAGTTTATTACGTAGAGTAATGTCTTGTTTAAGTGCTGGCCCAAGTTAACTGCATAAGCGGGAGTCGCCTCGATTAGCCCACTTATCGGTCTCGAAACTTCCCTAACCGAGTTCCAGGAAGCCACCGCCGGGCTAACGGCATTAAATACAGTTAAGACCCTCGTCTTGTATCTATTCGCATCTCGACTTCGTTATAAAGTACGATACTATTCGATTTTCGAACACAGCCTTTTTTTACTTTATTAACCAATGAAGTTTTATATCCAAGTAATTGGTATATTTATTTTTAAAATAGATTGTATGTACATTATGTCTTTAAAAGGGTAGATTTACGTATGTATTGAAGATAATATCGCCTTTATCAATTCTTCACCTTCGATTTGTTCTAATTTGATAATACCGATTTTGCTCACTAGAGTGTCGAGATAAAAATATTTTTCTGTATTAGTCTAAACTTGGTTACGTATTTGTTAATTGTTTTCATTGCAAAGCATATTGGCTTATCACAGTCAAAAAAGCCGTACGATTCGTTGAATGGAGCTTCAAGTGATGCACTGAAAGCTTAAAAAATCAGTTTCTTGCGCTACCCCGTCCGGTTTACGTGTCCGAGGGGGTGGTAATGTGCTAATGAATAGAGAGGGCGGGCAGGGGGTCGCCGGGGGCTGGGGGCGGGCGGGCGGCGAGGGCGAAGGCGCCGCTGGGCGGGGCACCCCGGTCCCCCGGGATTGGTCGCCGGCGCCATCTATTATTCATAAAATAGTTTTTGAACAGCACCGCCGGTCGCATAACTCGGTTACATCCGAACTAATTCAATAAGGATCATGTCACTTTGGATTAGTCCCGGCGCGCGTCGCTTTTTTAGCTCTAATGCGACGGCGACGCCATCAAAGGCCGCCTTAACAGTGTTAGCGGGCCCGGCCTTATTTCATTAGGGCCGTCGAGGACTACAGCGCCCCGCCGGCGGTAATCGCGCGAGTTTGTTAATTTTTAAAAGAATCTATTAGCGTATTGCGGAGCGCTTTAAGGCCCAGCTCTACGGCTAGCGGCCGGCGGATGAATAAAAAAGCGCTTTAAACGGATCTATTAAATATGCACGGGGCAATTTCCAGTGATGCGTTGGTGCTCCACTGCGGCCTCGTTAGCGGCCGCATGCTTGTTGCTGATCGCCTAGCAAAGGAGATTCGGCTTCCTTTGTATGTACATTAAAATATGGAAGCGTCAACGAAATACAGTCTTATTCAATTACCTTTTTTTATGGAAAAAGGAGGCAAACGAGCATGCTGGTCACCTGATGGTAAGTGATCACCGCCGCCCATGGACATTTGCAACATCAGTTGAGTCGCAATCGCGTTGCCGGCCTTTAAGGTTGGAATAGGCTCTCTTCTTGAAGCTTCCTAAGTCGTATCGGTCTGGAAATACCGCTGGCGACAACTCGTTCCACAAAGTAGTTGAGCGTGGTCGAAAATTTCGCAAAAAACGCACAGTGGTGGACCGCCAACCATCAAGGTGGTGTCGATGGTACTAGGCGGTTTGACGAGTTGTACGATGGTGAAATTCACCTGCAGGTATCAACCCAAACAATTCCTCAGAATATAAATCTGGAGTATAAATATACACCTGGAAAATACCCGGAATGTAAATAATGTCTTATATTTTAATAGATCCTATTTTGTATTTTTTGACATTGTTAATTCCCTTCCAAGTTTATACTGTTGGTTGTATTATTATATTATATATTTTGTTTTAAATAAGTGTGCTGTTTCAATCCGTGATAGCTCATTCTCTGGACGCTCGCCTTAATTCAATATACTCGAGAAACCTGAGTTCAATCCCCGGCGCCGGCACCAATGAAATTGTTAACGCCAAGTGCTGACTTATCACGTGCTCGGCATTGAAGGAAAACATCGATGATATTTTCGAGAGAATAACAAAAAGTCCGCCAATCGGCAGTGGGGCCGCGTCGCGTAGTGGAGACGCGCTGATATCCTTTTTATCGTGTTGGAATAATGTTATGTGGCAACTGGTTTGAGCTTTTTAAGGCAAAAGCAACTCTCATCCTACAACTCCTGTTTTAAAATCATGTAATATAATTCTTCTGCTTCTTCTACGTAAGTCTACAAGACCAATAAAAATAATAAGCTTGAGACTTATCCTCCACTTTTGTTAAAAAAGTAATAAAAAAATAAACGTTCATTCCACACATTTTAAGCTAAGCCGTGTTGCCACTATTCATAAATCGTGTTGCATTTATGAGGAGCGGGAACGGATGAAACTTTTTCCCGCTGCACTTAAGCTCGGGGTCGACTTCCGGTGGGCGCGGAACACTTTTTAATTTCCGCTGGCCGGGGATTTTTCTGCAGCGTCTGATGAAGGCTCTATTTTTAATATTCAATTAATTTAAATATTTTTAATCTGCCTCTAAATCTGGGCAGGCTTTAGTATTAAATGGAAAAGGTCAAGCGAGAGCTGCAGTTTGCTTTTTCGAACGATATTTAAGAGTTTACTAGACTTTACAGTATATAATGTACATTTTACGATTATTGAGAAATTACACACTGGGAAATGTAAACGTCTTAACACAGAAATGACTTTTACAAGTCACACTGAATTGGTAATCTAATAGGCAAATCAAATTGGTATCGTCATTATTATTAAGAGGAATGTTTGTAGTTAGCTTCTTTATTAATTACCTATACTTAATAAGGATTTATTAAGTTTCTTTTCGAGTTCGATATAAAGTAAATTTTGCTGCGAAAAGTATTTTCGTAAATAAATATTTAATTTCGTGGGAAAACAGGTGGGTGAGGCCGAGGTTAACTGGTGGTGATGAATCGCTACATAGAATAAAACAAAGTCGTCCCGCTGTCTGTCTGTCCCTATGTATGCTTAGATCTTTTAAACTACGCAACGGATCTTGATGCGGCTTGTCTCACTAGATAGAGTGATTCAAGAGGAGGGTTTATATGTATAATACATTGCACCCGTGCAAAGCCGGGGCGGGTCGCTAGTAAAATATAATAGATATCGACTCGAGCAAAGAGCTAATAGTACGCCGCCCGGCGCTGGCTAATGGAGTGAGTTAATTGAAGCAATTTGTATCATTGCGCCTCACTCCGCGCATTAAACTCTATATCATATGATTGTCGATCGTGGCTCACTTACGTAACTGTATCGATGACCTTTAACCAATAATGGTTAGGCAGGTACCAATAGATTGTATGCCTTTATGGAAATATAGTATTTAAAAATTTAAACATGCTTGAGTGTAGAGTTTTTGTAACGTCTAGATGATTATGTATCGTTTATATGTATTTATTTACGAAAGAAAAGTATATTTATTAGTGATAAAGTTAAGCTTTGCTCAGTTTGGAACTAGATTACGCTGTATAAATATATTTCCTTGAAAATACGTAAATACTAATAGGACTTCTGATTCAAATTTCTCAATGAGTAAATTGACTTCCAAATTTCGATTTTGAAAACTGTGTAGGTTAAATGTTCGGTTAGTAGATGCAGCATTTGAGAGTCTGCGATTTGGGATACTTAAAGAAATTTTACATTGTAAAGTAAAATTTATATAGAATATGTGTTATAAATATATAAAACAAAAGGTTTGTTTTTTAACATCGTTAACAATGTTGTTAAATATTTTTTATGGATTTTATCACGTTTTATTTTGATTTTACATTCCCGTTTTATCGAACAAGTGTTGATGGTCATGGGACAGTCTGTCCCGTGACCATGAACACTTTAAATAATACACTTACAGAATTATTCAGAACCTTTGCTTAATTGCTCTTTTTTGGGTTTGTTAAGATGATGATTAACAAAATGTTTATAACACAACTAAATAACATTGTTGATTTATGAACTCCGTTCATATGATAGTAGACGTACATGTGTATCTTATGAGTTTAACTTCCCTAGTGCAAAATCAAATTGTCTCAAGAATGATAGAAATTGACGGTGAACCAAACCAAAATAGAAAATAATAATGGACTGTAATAAACGTCATTTAGGGCGAAGACAGCTGTAATCCCGAAAGCCGAGGGTAATTTTCGACTTGTAATGCACGGAATGACATTATCAGTAAGAATAATAGAAAAGTTAGGTGTGGGGGAGCCCGGGCATTCGTTACCGAATCTATCGTATCGCAGTAGGGTGACAACAATTTCGTACTTATAAATAAAATCAATAATCAATTCATTATTACCATCGTTATCCTATTATTCTCCCGAAAAGCTCGTAGAAATCCGAAGGTTTAATGTATGAATGTTCGGACTTAATTTTACACTGGCCATATATTCAAACAACGTTTAATTAAACAGGCAAAGCCAATAAATGACATCGTTAAGACACGCAGTTTTGAAAAATAACGTTATTCTAGCTAGCGTTCATTACATAAGTTAAATTAGAATATTCTTTATTTATTAAAATTAAAAGTTTAAGCTTATTAGGTTAGTGAAATAATAAAAAAATAATAAACTCAAACTATTGTCATATTTATAAATGAAAAAGAAAGTAGTAGCTATGAAATATAATCACAATATCCTTATATTATTCCTCGATTTTTATGCACCCTAACATAATGCAATGTCTCCACCTCATCAATTCGCGGGACGTGCGGATACTGTTCAGATAGAAATAACGTCCGTTAGGGCGCGATTTAGCACTTCACGCGTAATGGAGCGTAACTTCCGGACAATTCTTATTTTATGGCTACTCTACTTCTTACCGTATCATTTGATTTCAAACGCTTTTACGTTTTTGACATTTTATGTAATACAAGGTAAAAATAGACAAGTAGAGTAAAGTAAATTTTTTGATAAAAATCGTAAAAAAATTATTGCAATAATATACGAAATGACATCTATCGATAAATTGTTTAAAGGAAAGATGGATAGACTGAAAAAAGTTAATATTCAAATTAAGATATTTCTCATTGATAAATATTGATTGATCAAGGTGCTGTGCGAAATTTTTGCAGTGGTCAAATAGCCAAATATTAATCTTGATATGAATTAGAAACGAATTTTTTTGTAAGTAAAAATGTAGGTAATTTTGTTCACTTTTTTTATAATACGTATTTATACAATATAAAAACTTTTTTCTCTTTTGGTGACAGACACAAGCTACTCGTACCACCCGGCCATCCACGATGACACGTTCGTTCGCAGGAAACAGCGACGTAACAGGACCACCTTCACTCTACAACAGGTAAACATTAGTGATTTTAAAAATAAAATAAATAAACGTGTATATACAACGGGGCGCTACTAACGCGACCATAAATCAACACACATGTAGAGGATAACTTTTTAAAATTCTATTAAGTATTTACTTTCTTTAAACATCAATATTAACCGAGTTATTAAATTTTCCAAAACACTTTAAGAACACCCTTACGTATGAATTGGTTGAATGAATTTAGAAGGAAATTAAACATATTGTTAGAAGGAGAGAGAGAGGAGTAATGGGACGTTGTGGCAACGAATGAAAAAGTCTCTGAATGTGTGAATCAATCAGTTGATGTTGTATAGGATGTTACAAATTTTGTTTCTTTTTTACCTTATTAATTTGTTTGAAAATTATTTTTGTATTAATTAGGGATTTTTTAATTCTATATTTTTTCTATTGGTCTATATTTATTTTATTAAAAGTGCGGTTGTAACGCCATGCTTATAAAATAAAATAAATATAGGCTGAATATCTGTCGTTTTAAGATAATTAAACTTGCTGTGCTAAGTATCTCTTAGTTTAAAGGAAATAGAAGGCGTTAATTATTTATTTTAAGTCTAACGCCCGGTTTCTGAAACACTGGTCATTGATCATTCTGATCAATTCAAAGAGTTTCTTTAGACAACTTAGATAACATTTGCGAAGCCATTTGACAGCTGATTAGTTAATTTCTACGATGATCGGTGTTTCAGAAACCGGGCGTAAATCTTGGATCTTTTTAACTTTGTATCCATTCAAGCCAATAGCTCAACGATTGTGTCACTGAGTTATCATGTATTAGTAGTATATGAGAGCTGAGTATAAATAGGCTGTTTCTCTTGACGGATGTTAACAGACTTCAGGTTCAGATGTACTGAACCGTAACCAGTAAAACAACAGTGGTTTATCTTAATTAAACCAGTGAAATTATTTGAAAGCTGCTGAACTATTGTCACCAGCTACTTTTCTTTCTCGCACCATGTACGATTCCATATTGAGTGGTGTATTACAGCTTGAAGAGTTGGAGACTGCGTTTGCGCAGACGCATTATCCCGATGTCTTCACTCGGGAAGACCTCGCACTCAAGATCAATCTCACGGAAGCGCGGGTGCAGGTATGTTTAGCTAAAGTAAAAACTACGGTTCTTAGCCGTTAATTAATTATGCACACTGTGCTTGACTGTTTTTTTCTAAAAAAAGGGCTGACGTCTAACTAAAGTCAAGCACGTATGTAAGCTGTCAAGTAATTAGATACACGTTTGTGATTGTTTCGTTGACTGTTTTTCAAAAAAAAAAACAGGCTGAAAAATCGAAAATCGATTGGTAATTCAAAAGGTCTAAAAATTTATCGATATTTGAAAGTCATCAATCGAATGAATAGGCTTTAAATCATCAACCATACTCTTTGTGTTTTTTCAGTATGTTGTATACATAATAATAGTATTAATATGCATTTATTTCTCTCCACAAACATGAGCAGGTCCGTTCGGTTAAGTGTCACGACGGAAAAAGTGTTATTTTTTTGCGTTTAGTCCGGTGAGTGATGGCCCCGGGGCCCACTTTATTGTCACGGTAGCGCATCTGCAATCCTACGGGTCAAATCCGCCAACTTGCTCGCGACCTTCTCAAATATAAAAAAAAAAACATTACTGTGATGGGTGGTACTACATTAAAATACAAACAGATACAATACAAATTAAATTAAATAAGAAAAATAATATTTTGTAGGAAAATGCAACTAGACGGTTAGTTACATCGCATCGCATTCGCAATTGCATATCGTATGACGTTTTTTATTCAGCTAGTAGAACCAATTGATTATGGACTAGATTATATTGGTGTGTTATCTTCAAACACGTATGCTGGAACGTAATGAAGGGAGCGTCACATTGATATTTCACATCTACAGCCCAGACGCATAACGGAAAACTCCCTTAAAATTCAACATGGACCATTCGCATCAGCCGAGTGCACGATTTATGTGGTCTAGTCGGTTCCCACTCGCGGTGTGAGACGTGGCGTCACTTCCAATGTACGTCGTCCCGTAAACTATGACGTCGTAAACTTGCGAATGGTTTATGTGGGCGGCGACTGCCGCGCCACCTAGCGGAGAAGTCATTGGAGACGGCTTGGCGGGGTTTATGCCCGGTTGTCGCTTGTAAATTCATGATTTAACCGTCACTCGCAACCCCTTGTGCTATGAATGCATTCGCGTATTATTTCTGACTTATAAAATATTTCAACAGTTGAACTGTATTTGGTGTATGTAGATCGGCACTTTACTTAGTTGTGTTTAATGAACTTGTCTGTCCTATAACTGAAGCAAATCTAAGGATTAAGATCTAAGGATTAAGATCTAAGGATTAATACTAAGGTATAAAACGGAAATAAATGAAGTAAAGCAAATTAGCTAATTATTAGATGCTGCCCTTATAAAGCTAGCGTTAATGTTATTATGGTTATCATTAATATTTCAAAACTGAAGGGACTACTTTAAAACACTTGCTTGATTAAAAAAATGCATGGATGTTTTGTTTCTATCACCTGGTAACTTTGTAATTGAAAATATCGAGACGTTATTTCGTCTAATACTAGTTATTTGTTTCATAAATTTATATTTTACATATTTGAATAAGTAAAAAGCATGTAACTAATACACAATTTTTCTCGTAGAAATGTAGAGACAACTTATTTCAACTGTATCGTAATTAACCGTCGTTCATTTCGTAGCCTTGGATTTCGTCTTTTATCTGATATTATGCTAGGGATTCCTTTTTAAACTAATTACAACAGCATAACATTATTTAACTTGATGTAATGCAGACCAGTGTCGTTACTGCAAAGAAAAAAACATATATAGAGATAAAGATATTTAAAATATATAACTTTTAGAATTTTCATTTCTGCAGTCAACGCAGGTGACGTTCGATTCAACGAGAACTTAGCAGAGAGCGATATAAATCAGAAAATCATGAAAGTATTTATATGTTGACTTTCGTAGCGTTGCATTGAGCCCGTATGTAGGTGTATGAGAAAAAGGCAATTGAGTTTTATTTATACGATCCGCGTGATACCGGGTGGAGGCAATACCTCGAGAGCTTTTACCGTAAGCTCTTTAAATAGAAATTCATTTTGGATTTTATTCTCGCATTCGCATACAGGTAGAGTGGATGCTAACAGGCGTAAGTAGAGTCAACGTAACGCTTTAAAGCTTTGCGATAACATGGGAAATTACCAATGTAAAATGCAGATACGGCACAAAGCTGTAACTTTAATCTGCCTGAACTTTAAAGTGCATACTTCAATTTGAATTCATTTAAGTTTCATTCTAGGCGAAATGATTATTAGAATTCTACGAATATGTGAAAAAGTTTGGCATAAGTTTTCTGGAATTGACAATTATATAAGCTGACTTTTATTAATAACTTTAAAAATGTACAACATACTGCAAATATTTTTTAACTTGTTTTTAATTCGATACAATTCATTAAAATATGTAATTTACACATTTAAATATAAATTTTAGTACGCTGTAACATGAATAAAATTAGTAACATTAAGAATAGTAGTTATAAATGAATAATTATAAAATGGTCGCTATATACTTTTCTTAGTTGCTGATGTATCTATTATATTCATATATTCATTATAGCTTTTCACAATAAAACTACTTATAAAGGATATTTCTTACAGCTTACTAATATCCAAATTGTAGGACGCGCTTTTACAAAAGAGAAACAAAACGACATCCAACTCGGTAGCCAATTTCAACGAGTGCCCCCGCCCGGGACTAACTAGCTACGCGTGTAAGTCAATATCCAATTTAGTCCGCCCGCCGATCCCGAGGAAACCGCTTCCATTAGTTAACTACAACAGTCCATTGTCAAAATCCACTCTAGTTCGTTGCCGAAACCACCAAAACAGTTGAGAATTGAACGGATACCAGGCCAACGGTATCGGGCCTGCGTGAGTTTGTTTCAAAGCCCCGCTGACGCGCGCGTTGGGCGTAGCGCGGGGGGCGGGCGGGGTCAAGTTATGTTGGGAGTCTGTAACGCGTTTAAGTCTCTCATCTCGAAATGGTATTACGGCATGAGGCTGGTTGGGCTCTCCGCGCGGGACCCCCTCTCACACCTACCGCACGTGCTGCCGGGATTAAGGGGTGTCACCGGGCGTCTATTCCCTTAGTTCGGTTAAGCGTTTCACTGTTCGTATTTAGATTACCTTTTAATAGCCTCCATTGGCGTAATTAGTTGACAGGTTGTTTGCTTTTGTTTTGTTCAGCTATTTTATTGGTACTACTTTGTACTGTTATAATGTGGCATTAAGAGTAACTGTTGGAATTAACGGAGAATTTAAGATAGCGGTGTTAATTGTAATTATGGAAAATGTCGACAGCGTAGGAAACTATGTGTAAGTTTAGCTGCATGCCTGTGGAATGGAATAGTCCGATTTCTATCTTAAATTTATTAGTTATTCAATTCGAAAAATTACCGTACCCGCGTTGTGCCAATAAAAATTAGGTATAGTATGTTATGCATATTGTGCTATGTTCGTAGTACCTCTACGATGGCGTTGAGTATTTATAATCTATCATAATTCATTTTTGCAGGTGTCATATATTTTACACCCTCTCACGGTTCTAAGTCGTAAAGGGGTAAACTCAGGCATAAAGCTTTGTTTCACCGCTTATTACAATTCCACACAGGACTAAGTGATAAGTTTGTCGCCCTACATTGTGATTGGCACTTCGAATGAGTAAGGATCACAACCTTAGATGGCCAGTTCGCCGTACGTATCTAAAAAACAGATATAACATTGAAGTCTCAAGCGTCCGACACGTTTCGAAGGCGGACGCAGCCCTGCCACAGCGTAGTAACATAATTGAGTCGGCTTTCAATCTGATTCGCTTCCCCGGCCGGCTGTGTAGTGTCGGTGATAATTCGGCCGAAAAATATAAAAAGCGACCAACGGCTACCGTCAGACATATTGGATTATGGGCGGGGTGGAGTTCCGAGACGAACCTTTCCACTAAACGCTAAGCCCGCTACGAATTCTCTCAATATTTGACAGATAATCTACAGATATTGGATTCAATATTGTGAAAGCCCGACCGAAAATGGTGTCTTAATTCATTTGTAAGAAGTGATCGAAGATAGATCTTTCATATAATTTATTATTAAAAAAATTGTCATGACAGCTATTATCTATGTTTTAATATGTGCAGCAAAAACTTTGTAACCCTTTTTACGAAAACTGCGCGTACAGAGGAGTATGAAATTTCCCACGCTTATATTTTTATATAGAGGAGTGCAGAATGCTTATATTTTTTTTATTATGCATAAAAAATACATAAAAATTAATATAGAAGACATTACAAACACTACCATGTATTTGACACATACACGCATATATTCTTTTGTTTATTGTGTATTGTATTTGAGAAAAGTTTTGTTTATATGAGAAAGTGACAAACGAGCTGGCGGTTCACCTGAAGTTAAGTGATAACCACTGCCCATCGACATTTGCAACACCCGTAGGGTTGCAAATGCGTTGCCACCTTTAAATAAAATGGGCCCCGGCTACCTCACTCACCAGACGAAACGCAGAAGTGTAACACTTCCACTTTACGCCGGTCTTCTGTAAGGTCGCGGTACTTACCCGGACGAACCTGCCCATTCGTGCAACAGTGAACACTGCTGCGTGGCCCTACCACTGTGATATATTAACAGATATATTTTTTATGAACAATATTAATAGATTCATATTGTTCAAACTTATAATTTAAATTAATTATGGTCGTATTTAGACCACTCGGCGTCCAGTAGTTATCCGCAGTGGGGTCGCGACTTGGACTATGGCCTTAAACCCTCTGTATAGAGAAGGCCTTTGCTCAGCAGTAACAATATATAGGCTGTTACTTTTCAATACAGTTCAAGTAAATTTTATTAACAAGAAACAAAACTTAATTCAAATATCTCAATTTACCTTCTTTACTCCTTAACTATATTTTGGGGGAGAATTCAAGTTCAAATACTAATAAAATTATATGGGACCACATGGGATGAACCAAACCCAATGGAGAATAAAAAATTAAAATCGGTTTATAAATAACGGA